ACATGCCTATTTAATATCTTACGGGTTAAGAGCACGCAATAATTAACTGAGGCCTTTCGTTTACGACGATTAGTATAAAACGAACATCCCTCTCTGGGATCCTGTTCAATACATAAATGTACTAGTGCAACTAATCGGTCAAGACAAACCGTACGGTTGACACTACAACCGTTCCGATGGGTTGTTCAATTCCATCTAGGTTGTGAACCAACGATTCTTGTTTCGCAAGTAACTGATATAGTGATCTTCGGTACGCCCGATGACGACCCACTTATCTACATGCAAAACAACAGAACGTGGAACTTATTTAACCAAACATAATTCTCATTCATCAAGGAATACCAAGTGTATTATCCACCAAAGCAAAGCTTAAGTATATAACACCAACACTACTATCTCGCCATCTCGAGAAAATCTCGCAAGTGGCATGGGAAACTAATCGACAAACCTCATACACCGAGGATTGTTGATTAGAGCATTCACACAACGACTCAAAGGATCAACATACATTTTGACCAAAAATCTGGTTCAAAGACCCCTAAAAGGACAAGGTCGAAGTTTAATACACTGTCACCCGAGAGGTGACACACACGCTGGCACTGCACATGCGGGGCACTGGGACGCGTGCATGTACCCACTCGGATACCAGCTACAAGGTCAAGGTTTGGCCGTACACACTGACCTGGGGAGTTTGGCGTTCGGTGATGGCGGCGGTAGCTCTCGTGCGAGTCAACGATCGGCCACTGCACTTGGCCTCACGTTTCTCAGCACGGACGTGCGGGCTCGGCCACCGCTTCACGTGGCTACACCCAGTCAGGTTCGGCACTCAGTTCGAGGCACATACCAGAAGTTTCAATTTCCGAATCTCACAATTCCTTAAGTACTCTGACAGGACAAAGGGTTTGACAACAACAATTTTCCCAAAAGGGATCGAACATTGGCATCACTCCCAGGAAAAGTTCTAACTCGGCGGTCAACGCTGAACAACAGAATGGTGAGCTCGTTTGACTCTACGGACTAACAGTGTCGGCCGTCACAACAGCTTTTACTTAGGTAGCTAATCGTGCCGGCAGTTCTAAACGAGTCTAATCCACATACACAGCCTATAGCTTTCACACTTCGAGGTCTATCGTAAAGCTTCCCTCGCAAGTGTTTCCTGCTAACATTATAATACTAATCAGATTAAGTCACATAGGGTACATATACATGAAAATTGACGAAAAACTAATTTTGGAATTTACAACTCAATTTGGAAACCTAAACATGAACTTGCACCAACTTCCAGCATGCGTAATGAATTTAAAATGCATGTAGCTTTCAGTCTAGATATCGTATCATGATAAAACTACTTGAAAAAAATATCCTTAACTCAGGCCTCTATTATTTTCATGAAGAACACTCAGGCAGATAAAATCATTGAAATTCACATAATACAGCAAACATACAAAACATAGGTGCAGTGGATAAATGAAGACATACAGCTTGACAGGTTCTCAGTGTATGCACAATAACCGAAGCTACAAACATTATATTACTGAAATTCAAAATCTTCAAGATAGCTAACTCAATTATTTACAACTTTCGAGTAGGTCACTTAAGCCAAAAATAACTTTAAAACCGAGTTTAAGCATAAAACACGTAGGTAAAAAAAATCTGCCAACGAAACTATTTATAAATTACAGTAGGTCACTAAATCAGAAGCATCTCATGCCACAAAACTCCGAATCATGCAAACTCAAAACCTACAGAAATTACACTTGAATTTCTACAAGTTCCACGAAGGACATATTTACAAATAATCACGTTAAGGGCCTCATTTTAGAGCATACATTTCAATCGTAAATACAACCACTGTTTTAAAAATTCTGGGCATAACTCCAACTTTGAAAAATCATATAAAATCAAATAAAACACCAAATTGCAAGATTTCAACATATATAGAAAGCTTATAACATGTACTACAAGTTTCATGTTGATCATAGTTTCACATAGTCACATTAACATTGTCAAAAACAGCCCAACATCATGATTCACAATTCTGCCCGGAATTTCAAAAACTGCTTGCAGTTTCAATTTCCAAAATTCATAACAAATTCAATTCAACTCCGAATTATGAAATTCTAAAACTCGTAGAAACTTGACTCAAAGCACTACAAAATTTATGGAGAGCACCTAACTAGAAAACAACTTATAGGCCACGAGAATTTGAGCACAAACAGCGGCTAAAACATGGAGTTTTCAATTAAATGCCAACCCAAAATCATACATTCATGAACTGAGCATCAACAAGTCATATATAATCACAACGTATATCTCAAATACGCACACATAAGATATAAGGAGGTTAGTCCTAACTTGATTTTTAACACAAATTCACATAACTCATACGATCACCACATAACACGTTTTAAAGAATCCCAATCGTGCAATAATCGTCAAGTTCAATTATATAAGCATGTTTTTCATAACATCAATTTTAACATCTCGAATCATATAGAACCACAACATCATGCTTAACTACAAATTCATACCCTTTTCCAACTGTGTGACTCGCAGTCAACTCATAAGATATTCACGCGATGTCGGAGCAGTCCACTCGTCCTATGGACGACGTCGTCGTCTTTCATCCATGCATCAGCCTTCAGGACTTACGCTCGATCTAACATACGAGAATTATCAACCATCGTCCCCCTCGAGGCTTAGCCACTCTCAAGAGTTACGGCGGTGATACACATTAGATTCTCCTAAATTATGGGGGTCGATTAGTGACCAATTTGCGGCATCTAAACGACACTTCCGGTCCTCGACGACTGAGGTTCTAATCTCCCGAGTGATCCCATACACTAGAGATTCACTCGGTACTTAACCTTTCTCCTTCGAGATGGGTTAGGAATGGTCCTACTGTAAGGACACTGAACGAATATTATAGCGGAAAAATGCTATAAACATCACTTATCTCAATAATAAAATACTGGAACTCACAACCAGGAATCTCTAGGGTCCGAACTTAACTCTATATCACTAGAGTTCAATGTCAAACACTAGAGTTCACATAACCTGAGGTGGATAGATTTCCTAAGCCCCAAAACAACATATATATCACTTCATGAGTAGTCTCATTGTTACTCATGCAAAAACTTCATAAGTAGTTTCATTGCTACTCATGTAAAACATCACAAGTAGTTTCATTGCTACTCGTGCAAAACGGCACAATTTACATTATAAGTATTTTCATTGATACTTATATAAAACATACCTTAAGCAGCGCGGAGTGACGGAGACGAGTGGTTATATTACAAGGTCTAAACACATACTCACATAATAACCAGTCTACAGAAACGCAGACTGGCTCTGATACCAAACTGTAACACCCCATGATTTTAAAGAAATTCCAGACTTTCCAAAAATCAGTATAAAATTTTGCGAACTCATTTTCGAAAACATGGGCGTTATACAACATTTAACATCAACCAATTCGTATCTGGTTGTTCACATGGTTTTCATTAACCTTTTAAAATTCAACTCCACATGATTATTAGCTAAACCACATAACATGCATAATCGAAAACACATGATATTCCATAAATAACTCTCATACGAATATCAAACAAAGGGTTCAAAATCCTGACACGGACTAGTTTGAAAACAGTTCAACATGTCTCAAAGACCACACTTTATTCATAATGGAACCGAAATCATAAACATAATAATTATGACAAACCCACTCGTCTTTTCCCCTTCATCCGGCACATGCTTAACCTGCATCCGTGAAGAGCAGGTGGGAGTGAGCACAAGATAAAAGTAGTGCTCACTACTATGCACATAAATAAAATATGTCAAAATGGTATGGTCGCAGCATGAATATAAGATAATCACATCATGTCTCATCTCCTATCAAAATACAACAACCACATTACTCCTGTGCACATCTATCGCTAGCCGCAGAACGGGGATTCATTACCCGAAGGCGGGAGTACATGCCACGCTACGGACACGGCCTTCCATATGGGCTTATGTACCTCACAAGGGCACAGCCATATCAGGACTTAAGGAGACTTGCCTCACAAGGGCAACAGTATTACATCGACGGGGACAACCGTACCGACGGCCGTAACAACTCACATCGATAGGCTACATATTTCATATTCATACATAGATCATACCCATAAGAATAAACATTCATCATTCATGACATAGACAATTTTAGATGAGAACCCACCTGGTACCGCAAAGGAAAGTGGCACACAATCAGGAGTAGACAACGAGCACAGCTCGTCAAACACCTACAACAATTAATATGCTAAGATCAACACCTATTTGACCTTAGAGAACAATCACAAGCATACATTGGTCGAACTTGATTCAACTAAGTAGTTTGTGAAGTTTCGTGGACATTGGAACACTTGGACTTAACACTTAACTTGACCAAAAATGCATTTAAACACCAACATGGACTTGGCACGCAAAACAAAGTCAAACGGGGCAAAAACACACACAAGGGTCCAGGAAAAATGTAAAGAAGGCTCGAGACAGGCCCCGGGCTGCTTGCTGACCTGGCGGGGCATGGCTGGGCGCAGCCGGGCGTGCACGGGCGCTGCGCTGGGGCGCTGGCAGCAATGCACGGTTCGGCAGACCGACAGTGAAACAAATGAACCCGACCGTTTTTAAAATGCACTCGACCATTTGACTTAAAATTTTTACACATAAAAATACACACATAAAGGTACGTTTTCACTAAGTTTCAGCCTCAAGACTTAAGTTTAACCTGAGCAACCAATTTTTTCAAAAAGATGATGCAAATCTGAATTTTCTAGTTCTCCGGGCGATCCTTTGAATTTTTCAACGAAATTTGGAAACAACGCATATAACATCAGATTAGTAACACTCACCAAAAATCACATTAAAATACCAAGAATTCGATTTTTAATGATTTTTTGAAGTTTCAGCCCAGAATTTCAAATCGATATTTGACATAGCTACAGACCTTATTTCGACTTGAAATTTTTACACAACATATAATACTAACAAAGGATTATACAGTCCAAATTTTGCAGCAATCGGATGAATACACAATTTATAAAGATTTTTCAAATGTTCAGCAGCAATACCCGATTCAAAATAGCATAAATGACAATTTACTGAACAATTTCGTCTAAGGCCTTCAACATGAAGCCAAAGACTTCAAATGTTCCAATAATTCACAGCCCTATTCACGATTTATGCACAATACGCATACTTTCACAATTAACGATCATAACATTAAATTAATCGATTAATTCACAAGCCTAACATGCAAATTCATCCAATCTCAGCACATACATCATATACACATATAAAAATAAGGGGGGGGGGGGTTTCATCCTTGTACCGTTCTCGGGAAAAACAACCAGAACAAGGGCTGAACAGAGGCGAGAAGGGCCGCGATGCGATTGCTTCGCACGACAGCTTCGTGTGGCATGCTCGCGGGCTGGCTTACGCGTCTGCTGGAGGCCGCCTGTGCGATCGCGGGGCGCTGGATGGCGACAGTGTTGGAACCCATGAGGATCTCGATATGCACAAATCACGGACAAACATTCAACATAAACCTATACGCAGCGGATCTAAAGGTTTGATGAAGAAAACTTACTGCTTAAAATTTATGTAGATCTGGCTGGCCCGAACAGTTGACCGCAAATCAAATCTTCTCGGAATCGAACGAACTTAACCAATCCGGAAAGCTGACGTCACGGCGAAGTCAACGGCGTTGACCGATCAGAAATCGGAGGTCTCACGCGCTCACACGCGCGCGATTGAGCTTCAGCTGCTGGAATCTCCCGGTGGCGCGTGACGGCGCGTGCGGCGGAGTCCGGCGGCGATCTCTTCGTCTTGTCGTCCTGGTCGTCGTGGTATGGTCACTTACTGGTTTTGGTCTCCGGTTTAGATGTATGATTGGAATCTCTATATACCTTAAGATCTTCTACTGTACTCTCAAACAGCTTTCTAGATCTTGTATCGGTGGAACACAAGAAATAGAAGAACTCCTTGGAAGAGAGAGAGAGAGAGGGGGCGGCGTGATTCCCAAGAATGTGGGATTGTGTTGTTCTCTTCCATGAGCCTAATGCTGTATATATAGAGCTATAGTATGGACCCTAAGGAGAATAGGATAAGGGCTTCTAATATATTAATACTGTGCAACAACCCCACAATTAATATATTAATAATATTAAAGTCCACCACAATAATATTATTGCACTCCCCTCACCTATCCCAAATTACATTTGAGACTCCTTATTATAATTATCCGATTTACCTCCCCATGTTTAAGATATAATGTCCATTAATTAATTCGATCACTAATAATGAAGATTTAATTAATATATTATATTACCGAAGCTAGCGCTCGCTCATAGCATTCATA